ATCATTAGCCTCTTTAGCCAATGGGTGAAAGGGTAACAGGATGTTCTGAACACTTGAGTATGTATGTTCAACCAAATGATAATCATCAAATGCTTAGGGCACACATCAGACGAAAACAAGATTGGCAGGGAACTAAAACTGAAAGCAAATGCAAGAAAATACTACTCTACTTTTCATGAAAGTAGAGTCTGACATGCTACTTATATATTTTTGAAGTCATCAAATTAGAAGCAAAATTATACGGGAGTCTCTGAGGTTATTGGTTTAGGAAAAAAGTCTAAGAGGTGTGTTTTTATTAAATTAATAAAAGAATGAATAAAAGCAAAACTTAGTGCTTACCAATGTATTTTTTAACCTTAAAAAGTGTATTTGTGTGTACATAAGTGAATGCATGCATGCAATGGAATGTGTGTGGAGGTCAGGGGACAGTAAGGAGCTGCATCTCTACGTCCACTGTGTGGGTCACAGGGACCGAACTTAGGTCATCAAGCTTGGTAGCAAGTGCCTATACCTATTAAACTATCTTACCTGCCTTACCAATATTTTCCAAATATTTTTTTTGAGTTGTGGCCTCCTAATGTATCTCTGCCTGGCCTGGAGGTCACTATGTTGACCAGGTAGGCCTGGAGCTCACAGCCTGTCTCCTGAGTGCAGGGATTAAAGATATGTGCCACCATGCCTGGTATGTTTTATTTTAAAATAATGTGTATGTATATGCGTCTGTATATATGAGTGCAGGGCAACAAAAGGGCCACTAGATCCCCTGGAGCTAGTTACAGGTGGCTGTGAGCCTACTGATGTGGCTGCTGGGACAGAAGCCAGTAACTTGGGTTACTGTAACAGTAACAGTATACTTGTAACAGTAGTATGAGCTCTTCACTCTCCAGCCCCAATATCAATACTTTTAAAAGGCAAATCTAACATAGTTGCAACATAAAAGGATGAGCAGTTAGCTGTGAAGCTAAGTGGTAGTAAGGAATCTAAAATTTTTATTCAAGTTAAAAGAACAGAAGCTATTTAATTCACACCAGTGGAAACCAAATTCTTTATATCATAAATATTTTAGGCCATCAGAATCTCTTCTAAGGTTATCTAGTGTGTTCCAATACAAACCTTGCCTTTAGGAAAAAAAAGAAATTATCATATAAATAGAGTCAGTTTACATTATATAATATGATATATTATTTTTAAAAACATGTGATATATATTTAATTTGTAATACAATTTAATCACTGTTTCTGAGCTTCTAAATAAGATATAAAATATTAATAATACTGTAGTGATATATAGAATCAGTTTTATTGTTGATTATTGTCTTATTAAAGAAATGTTTTATTCACCTAAAAAAGGACAAATCAATTACAAACAAAATGAAACTATATATTATGGCTACAATCATTTAATCAAAAACTATAGAAGTTAAAAAGTCTAACAAAAATTATAAAGAGAAGTTCTTCAGCTGGTAACCAGTAAACATAATTTTCACTTACATACGCTCTTGTGCATAAGATAAGGCACGTATGAACAGTTGAGACCTTAGTGAAAAAGTATCTCTCTGGTATCATTTTGAATATCTTTATGACTTTTAAGGGAGACAACATTTTGTGGTGCTGGGGATGGAACACAGGGTCTTAATTCTTTAACTGATTTTCATGATATACTAGAACATTTTTCATGGATTGTTCTTTCAGTAAATAAGAGAAGGCATATGCTGAACCCAGAGTAGTGTTATACATGCTAAAATATAATTTTGTTACTTTTCCACAGTTGTTACTGGAACATCAAAAAATGCAAATAAGTGTTAAAGTGTTTATTTTTGCTTGGTAGAATATAAATATTCCTGAGGATATTACAAGTAGTACAGCAGGTTTATCAGTCTGTACTATGTACAAGCCTGCCTTTGGTGGCCCTTAATTCTATCTTATTCTTCCTACTTCCACTAGGGTGGAAGATGTTTGCATGACAGACTTGAACAAAACATTTTATCATATCTACTTCTACTTATTTTGTTGTTGTTGTTAAAGGTTATTGCCTTAAGAGAATGGCTCTGGGAACCGAATCAGTAATCACATGGAAAACTGTAACATTAATATCATGTAAACTAACCTCTTTTTAAAATAAAACATAGCAATGATTGGTTATAAATAAATGAACCCTTAAATATGTTAAAGAATTTCATTTGAATGAGTGTCAGATGATGTGTTTATCTACATTATTATTTCAGCAATAAAACTTGGGAATCAGATATTGAAGTAAAAGTCTGATTGATCAAAAATTGATGGAGAAGTGACCAGTGACTTCCCCTCTCTCTTTCCTTGATCCAAAAGGATCTTTGAATCTAAGCCTCTCCCTACTACTTCCTGTGTCTCTCCATATTTCCTGTGTCCTCCAAAATCTCTATTGCTAATTTGGTCAGCTAGCAGCTATCTCTGCCCTCCAATTCAAGGTAAATGTTATTGTCAGCCCCAGGAGTGTAAAGAGTGTGATCAAAATATCCCACAACAACGTATAATGCATCCCTGAACAGGTATGTGCTTTCTTTCCTTAGTTCGCCCTGGCTACAATAAGAATAACCTTTACTCAAGAGCAGGTGCACTCTGGCAAAGGTCAAGATGTCTTGCTTCATTGGAAATCCTTGTGTGTCCTTCTTACCACAGATCTAGACTACCTAACCTCTCCAGTCTTCACCCAGAGCATCAGCAGCAACATCTGTGGCCAAGTACTTCTCATAAAAAGTACAATGTTCATGGTCACTGTCTACTTCCATGAGTTTCTGATAGCTGCTGCCTAAGAAGACATTCAACTTCACCTTGCCATGGCCAATCACCTAGGAATTGCCAGAAAAAGAGCCTCTTGGGGACTGTAACAATATGTTGCAAACAGAAAATTTAAAGAGGAACATGCCTTAATTTCTTCAGATTAGTTTTGCAGAAATTTCCTAGTAATGTAAAAAATTGTCAATGAAAAGGTCTTAAAACTTGAATGAACAGCCAGGTGGTGGTAGCACACACCTTTAATCCCAGCATTTGGGAGGCAGAGGCAGGCTGATCTCTGTGAGTTCTAGGCTAGTCTGGTCTAAAGAGCTAGTTCCACAACAGGCTCCAAAAGCTATGGAAAAAGCTTGTCTCAAAAAAAAAAAACACCAAAACAACAGTTTAACCAACAGTCATCATTAAACAATTGGATAAAACTGCAATAATTTAAACTTAACAGCTGACAAAAACAAAGTAAACATTTACTGTGTTTCTCCTTACACAATGTGGTGGTTTGAATGAGAAAGGTCCCCCATATTTGAAACTATGATCACCAATTGGTGGTGCTGTTTGGAAAGGTTATGGTATAGGTCACTGTACAACTTTGCTGGAAGAATTACATCACCAGGGACAGGCATTGGGAGTGTATCGCCTAGCCCCACTTCCATTTTGCTGGGTCTGCTTCATGTTTGTCATGGAAGATGTGATCTCTCAGCTTCTTGCTCTTGTTTCCAAGCCTCCCCCTGCCTTGATGGACTTTTTCTTATCTCTCTGGAACAGTAAGCCAAAATAAACTCTTTATAAATTGCTGCTGGCCATGGTGCTTAATCACAGAACGAGAAAAGTAACTAATATAGAAATTGGTACTAGGGAGTGCGCTGTTATTGTAGGCAGCACAGCTTGGAGGTTAAGCCACGTAAGTCTTTGAAAGTAAAGTCCCATGTAGCTGAGCCCTAATGTCTTCCTCAGGGGAGAGGGCAGGAAGGCTCGATGTCAACAACACAGACTTGGGGAATCCGGTGAAAGGGACATAGCAGACTTGTTTATTTAGCAATGGGGAGAACCTTAAATACCCTCCTAGCGCCCAGGCATTCCAATCCATTGAAAATGTGGGGCCGCCCCTCATTGGCCAGGCACGATCAGGACCTCTGACAGCACCAGGCAGAGTCCAGATTGGCTCCTTTTAGCCTGGTAAGCCTCAACTTCCTTTAGATCCAGACATCAGACATGGAGCTACAGGTTTTGCTTGTTTGCCCTGCTAGGTTTCAGTCTTTCTGCAGTCCAGTACTTCCTCACTATGCTCCCATTCTTCCCTTTTAAAATGATAATGTTTATTTTGTGTCATTGAATGTTAGAAGTCTGCTAATTGCTTTTAGATTTATAGGTGGCTACAGTTAAGGGATTGCCTTGAGTCTCACAAGAGATGTTGGACTTTGAAATTTGAAACAGTGTTCATACTGAGAAAGACTATGGTCACCTTTAAAGTTTAAATAAACAACTTTACATTATGATATGGTCACAGGCCTATGGGAGCCAGGGAGAGGATTGTGGTGGTGTGAATGAGAAATCTTGTCCACAGGTCCATGCATCTGAAAACTTGTTTCTCAGCTAATGGTGAGGTTTCGGGAGTTATGCGAATTTGAGAATTTGCTGAACAAAATCTGCCACTGGGGTGGGTTTTGAGAGCTATAGTCCTGTCCCAATTCCAGTCCATTGCTCTGCTTTGTATTTGCCACTGAAGATGTGACAGCTCAGCTGCCTGCTCCTGCTGCATGCCTCCCCGCTACGATGACCCCTCACCCCTCTAGAACCATAAACTAAAATAACTCCTTTCTTCCCTAAGTCATTTTTGGAGATGGTATTTTATCAAAGCAATAGAAAAATAATGAATGTACATAGTGAAAAACCCATGAATCATAGCAAATGAACTGGGTGTGATAGCATAAGTCAAGAGACCATGACTGAAGGATCACTGAGTCTGAGACTACTCTGCATTACATATTCCCATGCTGAGTTTAAAAAAACAACCCTACAACAAAACTAAACAAAATGGGCTGGGTATATGGCCCAAGAGTTAAGAGCACTGGCTATTCTTCTGGAAGGGCTGGGTTCAGTTCCCAGCCTCCACACGTTGGTTCACAACTGTCTGTAACTCCAGTTCCAGGGGATTCAATGTCCTCTTCTGGCCTCTGTGGACACCAGGCACACAAGTATTACAGTTATACATGCAGGCAAAACAACCACACATACAAAATAAAAATAATTTTTATAAGTCCTATAGAAAATGATACAGCCTATTTTGTGACGCTTGGGGCTATGTAAACATATTAAATAAACATGCTTTCCTTGTTTTTATTTTTACAAAATCACATTTCATCACAATGACTGAAAATTCCTTTCAATAAAAAAAACCCAAAGCTTACTCTGACAAAATTATTTTAGTTAGTAGTACTCTGCTGCTAGATGTTTCTCTACTATTTGAGGAAGATGTATAATATAAAGAAAATTAATGCTAGCTTTGTCAAAGACATCTACAAAAGTATGTACCTTACACCTTTACACATAATATTCCGAACTATAAAATCTGCCAATGTGGAAATTCCCTGGAATTTCTCAATGCACTGCAAATTACACAAGGCAAAATAAAGCATCATATATAAATAATGTTCAACCATTCTGGCATGTATGGTGTTTTTCTAACTAGAGTGCAACTTTATATATACAAACATAGAGGCTGTTTCAGACACACGTGGAGGAAACAGAAGCACCAGTTATTTAAGTTACACTTGATCACGAAGACGAGCAAGCCTCTGCGACAGTTCATCCTAGAGAAAGCCAAATTTACAAATCATCGAAGGCTGTGACAGATATGAACCATTAAAACATTTAACCCCTTTACATTTTAAATACAATTTAAAATCTTGTTTATAAAATTTATATAAACATTAGGCATTTAGTTTTCTTAAACAGCTAAAAAGAAACTTAAGAACTTAGAACAGCAGCTATAAATGTTACCAAAACAATCTAAAAAATGAAATGTGCATGAAAATTGAAAATGCCCACTATTACACAGCTACTGGCTGCACAGGTTTTGTTCATTTTAATGATGTGTCATAGTAGAAAAATACTCTTTATAAAAAGTGAATATATATTTCCTTGTATACAAATATATACATATCTTATAAATCATACATTTCCCAAATTTTAAATTTAAATATAAATAAGTATATGAATAAAAAAAATTCAACCTCTACCTGCTCCGTAGAAGCAACACTTGCACCAACAGAGCCTGTCTGCCCCTGTGGGAGCTCCATATTGAGATCAAGGCTAAAGATGAATTTACAAATAATCATATCAAATGAATGTTAACATAGACATTTTATAATAATCAAGTAGGTACTGCAAACTTGGCTACTATATCCTTTTATCACTTTAAATAAAAATTATGTTTACATGAAAATAGAACTTGAATGTCTTCAGAACAATTTTGGATACATGACTGACGATTTTAAAGTGTTTTTCTTGAGTTCAAATAGTAATCCATACAGGTGGTATAATATTGGAATAGAAAAGCCTGAGACATGATCTAATGCACTAAACAAATGAGCAAAATAATCATCATCTGTTGTACTCTATTTTCTGGATATTATTTGTCCTTTTTACTGTGAAGGCAAATTAATAAACTGTCAAAAATTCAAAGAAAAATGTAGCCTTAACACCCAGATTTAGTATTTTTGTTTTATTTCCATTTTAGTATCCAGTTCCTGAATTCTCTTAGTAGGAACCAGAAATTTCTTTCTTCTTATTTGAATTAAAATTTTAAAGATTTTTTTTCATTTTATTTACTTTAGATTTAGTTTTTTATGCTTTAAATGTTAAGTATAACTTTCACTTGTTGAAAATACATTTTCTCATACTATATACTTTGATTGTAGTTTCCCCACGGTCCACTCCTCCCAGTTCCTCTCCTTCCCACCTCCCCTCTCCTCTGCCTCCCTTCCTTTTCTGTCTCTCACTAGAAAAGAAAAGGCTTCCGACAGAAGGAAAAGAGCCCTAAGAGAAGGTGCAAAGATCAGAGGCCCGCTGGTTCACATATCCAGGAGTCCCATAAAAACACTTAGCTGAGAGCTATAATATGTACACAGAGGACCTGTTGGAGACCTGTGTAGGCTGTGTCCTTGCTGTTTCAGTCTCTGAGAAGTTATACAGGCCCTGTTCAGTTGATTCAGAGGTCCTCGAGGAACCAACTACACAGCTGAGGTTTAAAAAATTTAATGCAGCTGCCCAACTTCACATCACCCCACTGAAAGAGATTTGTTTGTTTGTTTACTGCTACAGGAAGGTTTTAAAGACAAAATTTTCAATCCATAGTAGTGTTTAGTAGTGCTATGCTCCAGTTCAGGACCTCACATATATTAGTCAAAAAACACTTAGCCACACTCTAACCCTATTTCATCAAATTTTAGAACCTCTATTAAATCAAGATTATTCAAAAGCACTCAACTAACAACACCTTACCCAGCTTCATCTGCCATTTCCTGAAGCAGCATATCCACTTGGTTCTGAAATAAAAAAATGAATTCATATTATTGTATTATTACCTTCTGGGTGGGTTTTCGGTGTGTGTGGTTTGGCTTTGGAAACTGATCTACAATTTTTAAAGTAGGGGCTACAGAGATGGCTCAGCAGTTCAGTTTCTAGTAGCATGTCCAGAGACTCACGTTTGCCTTTAATTCCCAAACATGGGGTGGGGGCGGTACAATGCCTCTGTCTTCCACAGACACACGTATTCACTAGTACACAGCTCCCAACATAATTAAAGGTAAAATTAACAAATCTTTTGGAAAATAGCCCAACTCACTGTTCTGCAAAACTTTTAAAACAAACCTTTAAAAAATACTTTTCTTGCCACAAGAGGGCGCTGAACCATTTCAGAGAGCCACATTCTGAACGTTAAGCATTTTAACTTAAGTTGTCTGAACAATATTGGCAGACAGATTCACATATAATTCACATCAGAGTAATGTAACACTCTAAGGGAGTGATTGAACTTAGAAATCCCTATAATAATACATTTTAGTTATGTGCAATAGATTTAAATTTAGCTTAGATTTATTATTCTGCAAAACCACAATTATGACATTAAAATGACTTTTCAGAAAGAAATATCAGTAGACAAAATATACCTAAAGTCTGTACCTACGGCACATAACCCTATGAGGGTTCAATTATGGGCTTAATTAATTGCAGAACAAAAACATTCTGAGTAGAAACTGACTTTTTACCTTGTTATCATTCCTACAACCCAGAAAGCTAATTGTTTACTTAGCATTTACATTGTGCTAGACATTACATGTAATCAAGAGGCGATTTAAACAATATAAGATCTATGTATGCTATATATAGACAATAGAACTATAAACAGGGAAACTGAGCATCATTGGGTTTTGATGTCTAATGGAGATAGTGGAGCTAATCACATACGGATTTCTGGTTATTTTGTTGCTGCTGTTGCTTTCCTGAGAAAGGGATTTCGCTATATAACTTAGGGTCCTGAAACTTGAAGCTCACTGGAAGCTCAGCTTCCAAGCGCTGGGCTTACAAGTACACACCATCAAAGCCAGTCCTAGTGTGAAACATTTACTGTGGTTGAGGAGTTCTCAAGAAATACAGTATGCTTAATCAGAAACCTCTTCTCATTTTAACACAGTTATTAAAAATATTTTGAACATACAAGAAGAAATTCTAAAATATGGTCACAGTTTAAAGCAAAAGATAAATATTCTTGTTGGGACCTTTCTTTCTCTTGTTCTTTCAACTACTTCAGAAATGTTTCCAAATGTAGAAAAGTTTCAAAAAATAATAAAAAAATAATAAAAAATAATAAAATAGCCCTATCTTTTTAAAAACTCCATATCTAAAGTAGTACTGTGTTCTGAAATCTAAATATTATACTGTATTATTCTACTGCTTACCTTCCTTAATCTTGTAAGATTTAAATTTTTGCTATCTATATATTTAGTTCATTCAATATAACTCTTTGCTGGATAATTGAAATATCTAAATATATTAAATTTAGCAAATTACTCTATTTATGGACATTTACTTTTTTATTAATTTCTTTCACAGGCAATGGTTAAATATTCATGTGTGTGTGTGTATGTGTGTGTGTGGGTGTGTGTGTGCATCTTTGTTCACATGCCAGGAAATTCTGGGTGCATGAACTTGAAGGTGGAACTCCTGGATTATAGGGTATGTATATTTCCATTTACCCAGCTATTGAAGGGAGCAGGCAAAAGCACCTTGATCTGAGTATTGCCATTTTACTTCAGATTGCATTTTACCTACAGGGTGAAGTAAAGTTCAGGTTCCCAAGCCCTAGGGGAGCTAAGAACTTTCCAATGGCTGATCAACCTCTTTCCGAAACCACAGAAATCATCATTATGCATCTTTACTTCTTTAAGGCTGTTCCTAATGAAAAGGAACAAATGAATCTGATTGGTTGAACTGAAATATTTGCACTGTATATTGGCTGACAATGATGGGACACTCAAGGAAGCCCCTTGTCTCTAATTCCAGATTGGTGGAAATTGTAACCATAGCCTGGCACCAAATGTTTGTGATTTTTGTGCTTATAAACCCCACTTTTGCCCCAGCTTGGGACTGTCAGGAGAAACAAAGCTCCTGAGTCCTTGTCATGCAACTGTGATTGATCAGTAACTCACTTATGTGGTGATTCAATAAAACCTTTGTATCCCATAGGTGTTGTCTCTCTCCTTCCTCAAGGCACCTAACAGGCTAGGTGTAATACACTGTCCAAGAAGTTAACACCTGTTCATATTATTGTATAGACTATTGAGCTGTTGATAAGAAACACACTAGAGAGCGTAGGGAGGAGCTAAAAGAAGAAAAGCATTTGTGTTGCCTGTGTAAACATGTACCTATGCTTTGTGAGGATACATGGGGGACACATATAGTCGCATACAAGTGTGAGGGCAGAGGAGGCCATCAGGTGCCCTGTGGTATGTCTCTCCACCTTCTTCACTGGACACAGGGCTTGTCATCTAACCTGGACTTAGACTGGAGGTCAGTTAGCCCCAGGCATCTTTCCTGTCTCTGTCTACTGCAACACTGGGGTTATACAATGTTCCCGCCATGTCTAACTTTTTACACTGGTTCAGGAAGACTTGAACTCAAGTCCTCGTGCTTGCATGGCAGGTGATTTTACCCATAGAGCCATTTCCCTAGGCCCAGGGAAACTTAAAAAAAATGTTGGATGATTTATTTGCAATGCTATAAATATTATATTTAAAATAGCTATAAAAAAGATGGGGAAGGATTTTACATAGAGGAGAAGGCATAGGCATTGTATAGCAATCCTCATCAAAATTGTAATGGCTGCATTCACAGAACCAGGCAAAGGATCCTGAAATCTATATGAATATGCAAACCAATGCATATAGTCAAAGAAGTGAGACATAAAAGATCAAAGCTGGAAGGATAATAGCATCTTCCAAGACATACATCTGAAACCTAGTAACTAAAGTAGCATTAAGGTACTGGCCAAAAAGAAAGACACCAAGACCAATGGAACTGAATAAGCACATAGAAATAAACTTAAGCAACTGGTGCAGGACAGGAAGTAGAGGTGGGGCAATGAGAAAAGGAGCATTCTTGGGAAGAAGAAGCTCTTTGTGCATTCCTGGCCCATCCACTGAAGAAGCAAGATGTGAAATGCCCTGCTGAGAAAGGTACTGAGTCATGTGGCTAACATAGATAAGAATAATGGGTTAATATAAGTGATAAGAGCTAATACAAAGCCTAAGCTAATGGGTCAATCAGTTTATGATTAATGTAGACTTCTGTGTATTTTCTTTGGGATTTACTGGCTATGGGAACTGGGCAGGACAGAAACCGCCACAAGCCCGGCCTTCATGTAACACAATGACACCCACGTGGACAACTACATCCATATAAAACCTTATATGATGGTTACTTACTTCCTTACTTCCCAGAGCTTGGGAAGTAATTCTATACAGAAAAGAATAGAGTAAAGCATGGCTTCTTGGTAGCAGTAATTTCTCGGATCTGCTCTGCTTGCTAGACGCAAACGCTCTCATTTAAGAGAGGTTTCTTGACTCAGCTTTAGCTGCAAAACCCTGCAGCTCTTTAAGAGGTCCTGTCACGAAACACTTAAATGGTGTTAATAAAAGCTGACTGCATGCTGTTTGGTTTTCGGCCATAGCAGGAAAAAAGGTGTGTCATTTTAAAATGCCAGCTTTCTGGGCCATCCTGCCAGTGCAAACTCTGACTCTTTGAGGCAGGAAGTCAGGCTACAGAGAGAGCATTTGAGTGTCGTTTGTGGACACACTGTTGCCACTTGCTTGCTGGCAAGGACCTTGAAACCCCATAGAGTTGTGGCAATAAACATGGCTCTGGCTAGTACCTCAGCCATGATGCTGAAATCTCAGAAAGCTAAAAAATGGGCTGGATCTAGCCGTCAAAGCCACGGCTTTAATCCTCTCCATATTGCTTAGCAAATTAAAGACTCATGTGGTCAGAAAAAGAGAGATATACAGTAAAAGAAAGATTCAAAGTCGAAGAAAACCTCTAAATGGTTTACACTGTGTTAAAATTATATGCAGGCTAAAGGTTAAAGTCCTTAAAATAAAAAAGAGAGTAGTTGGGTGTGGTGGTACAAACCTTTAATCCCAATGCCTGAGAGGCAGAGGCAGATAAACCTCTGTGAGTTCAAGATGTGGTGCCACAAACTTTTAATCCCAAGGTTTGAGAAGCAGAGGCAGACAGATCTCTGTGAAATCAAGGTGTGGTAGCACACACCTTTAATCCAAGCACTTGGGAGGCAGAGACAGGCAGATCTCTGTGAGTTCAAGAACAACCTGGTCTACAGAATGAGTTCCAGGACAAAGATACACAGAAACCCTATCTCCAAAAGCCAAAAGTTAAAAGTAAAAATGAAAGAAATAGAGGTTAAAATAAAGCCACATAAAGATGAAAAATATACAGAGAATCTTGATACTGTATGTTATTGTGCTCTCTTTGAATTATTTGAATGCTGAGGACGGAGCAACAGCTGCTAGAAGATATTTGAATATAAATGCTGTTGAATTAATTCAAGATAGGTATTTTGAAAATACCTTTACTTCAAAATTGAAGTCAAAAGTATGTTACTTTGGAGAAGAGGATTTGCTTTTGTTTCCACAAGAAATGAGAGGCTGTGGAGTAAAGAAAAATCAGGCTTGATCAAGTAAGGCCACCTGAGAAATCTCTGGTAGGAACAGATGGCCCGGATATCTGAGTTCTACATCCAGAACAGATTCAAGACTGCTGCCTGAGATGATCAAGACTCACAGAATACTCCAGTCAGGACTTGATCATAATTCTAAATTTTCTTTAGGTCCCCATAAGATTATCAGTGCCCCCAACCAGCCGGAAGTAGCCTGGATACTATGCCCACATTCCCAAAAATGGACTATGGATATTCTTGTTTTCTTAAAAAAAAAGTGGGGGAATGGTGCGGGACAATTCTATATTCTGTCAA